ACACAGGTTCTCACACACACAGGTTATCACACACACACACAGGTTCTGTCCCACACAAGTTCTCACACACACAAGTTCTCACACAGGTTCTCACAGGTTCTGTCTTACACACAAGTTCTCACACTCACAGGTTCTCACACACACACACAGGTTCTGTCCCACACGAGTTCTCACACACACAGTTCCCACACACAGGTTCTGAACACCAGTGAGACTCACACCAGAAACACAAAACGCACGAACACCCTGTATGTCCAGAGACTTGGAGGGAGGGAGGGGTCTCTCTCTCTTTCCCTCTGTGTGTCTCTCTCTTACACACACAGGTCCTGAACACACTCAAATTCACGTTAGAAACACTAACACTGTATGCCCGGAGACTTAGGCAGAAGGGGGTCTCTCCCTCTGTGTCACGCGCGCGCGCGCGCGCACACACGCGCACACACACACACCCGCTGACCCCAGTCCAGCCTGTCTGGGGGAGGGGGCAGGAAGGCCTGAGCTGGCCTCCCCCCAGCCCTGCTTCCTGCCCCGTGGGGGCCGGACGGGAAGCTGGGGCTCCAGCCGGAACCCAGGCTCCCCCCACAACTTCCCTCCTCCAGCCTCCCGGCCCTACCCGCAGAGGCGAGGGCAGAGGCGAGGGCGGGCCGGGCCGGGGTAGGGGAGGGGAGCGGGGCCCGAACCCTCGGCTCTGCCCCTGCGGTTGGCTGCCGGCAGGGCCAGGCTTGTCCTGCCCGGGCCTGGCCACCAGCGGGCCCGGAGTGCCAGGGGCCGGGCAGGGGCAGCGCGCCCCGCGTGCATGTGGTGGGAGAAGGTGCTGAGCCCACAAGTTTCCCTTCCCCAGCCCCGCCTGCCAGCTCAGCGGGCAGCCCGGGGGCAGGTGGGCGGGTGTGTCACGAGGGCGAGGTGTGGGCTGGGGAAGCAGCGGCGGCAGCCGGGTGCAGGTGGGCGGCCATTACTTGTCCTCAGGCCGAGGCACGAGCGAGCTGGGCGTGTGAGGGCCGCGTCTGTGACTCGGGGTGGGGGTGTGTCTGGGTGTGTGGGAGCTGCTCCGTCTGAGCCCCGGGGTGTGACAATGTGTCTGGGTATGACGGGAGGGCTGTTGTCTGTAGGGCCATGTGGATTCCCCAGGCTTGAGTGTGTGTTGGGGTGTGCAATGTCAGACCAAGAGGGGACATGACCGCTTGTGGCAGCCTGTGTGACGGTGATGCGTCCAGTCTTCATGTGCGGTGTGTCTGGGTGGATTGTGGTGGGTCAGTCCTCTGTGCCTGCACACTGTGTCTGCTGGTGACCGTGACCCCATGGAGGATGTTTGCAAAACTGTTCGTGGATCTCTGCCGGAGTCTGTGTTTCACTTCCTGATGGGCTCTGAAGCTGGGATGTGTGCATCTGTGTGTGACACTGTCTGAATTTGAGTGTGTGCTGGTTGTGACCCGGACCCTACAGAATGTATCTGTGTGATGGTGTCTCGCAGCACCCCCACTGAAGTCTGCTTGTGCTATGTCCCAAGGCCAGGCTGTGTGTTTATGTGATGGAGTGACACGTTCTGTATTTGTACCTGTGTATGTGGGGGGGCTGTAACTGCTGCCAGATGTCACAGGCCATGCGTCATGGGTCCTGCAGGAGTCTCCGTTGACACTGTGTGCAGTGTGGCTCCAAGAGGTGAATGTGTGTGGGACCGTGGGGCACTGTGCTTATCTGAGCCTCTGTGTGTACATGTGTGTGTGTGTGCGTGTACCACATCCTCGTGGGGCTGCAGCAGCTGCAGACCACGTCACTTGTCCCTGCATGTGCCTCTGCTTCTTGGGGCCAGGCCTCAGTGGTGTCTCCACAGGCAAGGCTGGTGACAATGGTGGCATGTCCTGGCACAGTGAACTCCCAAACCCAAACCCCCCAGCCCTCCACAGCTCCCAGACCTGGAGCAAGAGAAGTTACCCCATTTCTACTCCTGGGCTGAACTGGGAATCCCCCTCCAGGGCCCCAGGCCACCATCACCCAGACCCACTGCTGCCAACGCCTCTCCTGCCCACAGGCAAGGGGACATTGGCATCCACAGTGTCCTACCTCCCAGGACAGTCCTGGAAGGAGGAGCAAGTCAAGGGGCCCCTGGCCTGGGAAAGGCAGGGGAGAGCGAGCGCGGGAGGGAACGAAACCTGGGAGAAAGAAGGGAAACCGAGAGTGAGGAGAAAGAGGAAGCAGGAGAGGGCTCACAAGCAAGATTGCCGCAGATGGGAAGAATCAGAGGCAGGAAAGAGAAACCTACCATGGCTCAGGCCACCATCCTCTCTGACCTGGACAAGGGCAGTCACCTCCTCACTGGTCTCCCTCAGCCATCCTGGGCCTGATTCAGTCTACTGTCAATCAGCCAGGGCGCCTTCTGAGCACACCCCTCTTCTGCTCAGAACCCTGCCATAACTTCCATCCCCCTCAGAGTACGTTCTCACAGGGTCCTACAGGCCTCTGTGATTTAGGAGGCAGTACAAGTGCAGGGGTTATGTGTGTGGGCCCTGACCTCAGGCTGCCTAGCTGTGAGAGCATAAACAAGTAATATAACCTCTTTGTGCCTCACTGTCCCCATCTGTAAAATGGGAATCCAATGGTCCCTATAACAGGGGTTGGCAATTTTTTTTTTCTATAAAGGGCCAGATAGTAAATGCTTTTGATTTTGCAGGCCATGTGGTCTCTGTCCCAACTACTCCCTTGTTAGCATGAAGGCAGCCATAGACAACATGTATGTAAACAAATGAGCATGGCTGTGTTCTAATAAAACTTTATTTACAAAAACAAGTGGTGGGCTGGAACTGGCTGGTGGCTTGCAGTTTGCCAACCCCCTGCTCTATCGAGTCGTGGGGCAAATGAAATGAGTGAGTAGAGACCTGGCACGTAGGAGTGTTTCTGCTCTATCGAGTCGTGGGGCAAATGAAATGAGTGAGTAGAGACCTGGCACGTAGGAGTGTTTTTACTCTCTGGGCTGTGGGTGTCATGACCTGACCCAGATCCCACCACATCACCTCTTTCCTCCCTATTTAGCACACCCCAAGTTTGTCCCCACTTCCAGGCCTCTGCTTGGTTGGCACTCTCCCCCCACCCTCCCCAGGCTGGCTTCTTGGCAACCTTCACGTCTTGGGTTCAACTGCCACCTCCTCAGAGTCATCTCTTTTATGCCTCCTGTCACTGAACAGCTATTGTGTATTGTCTGTCTCCTCCCGGAAAGCGGGCTCCTACCGGGCAGGAACTGTATCTGTCCTGGTCCCTGAACCTGTCAGTGCTTCAGTTTCCTCACTTTTAACATGGTGTTATCAGTACGCAGTAGTGATGAAATGAGTGAATTAACGGAAGGCACTGGGAACAGCGCCCAAGGTGCAATCGCTGCTCACCTAAAGGTTGGTGGTTTGAACCCACCCAGCAGCACCACGGAAGAAAGGCCTGGAGATCTGCTTCAGTTCTTCTCTGACACACATGGGGTCACCATGAGTTGGAATCCACTAGACAGCAATGAGTTTGGTTTCTTTGGTTGTGTGTGTGTGTGTGTGTGTGTGTGTGTTTATTGAGTCGAGTTGCCCCATAGGGTTTCCAAGGAGCAGCTGGTGGATTTGAACTGCCGGCCTTTTATGGTTAGCAGCCAAACGCAGGCGCTTAACCTTCTGTGCCACCCAGGGACTCTGTTGCTGGTAGAGGGAGCGGAGTCCTTAGAGCCTAATATGTGTGCAGCAAGTGTGGAGTGTCAAATGACTGGTGGAGAGAGAGAGACAGAAGGAGGCGGCAGTGAGACCCCAGTCAGGCCCCCCAATGACACAGAGACCCCCGGTCCTCTCTCCACCTTTAATGGGCCCCCGCGTGGGCTTGGGGCGCGGGTGTCCTTAAATACAGCCCCCGGGCGCAGCGGGGGCGGGGCCGGGCCTGCCGGGCGGGGCGGGGGCGGGGCCTCAGCTGCACTTGCAGGATCGCACGATCATGTTGGACAGCTGCTCCACCTTGGGCTTGCGGCCCACGTAGTACACGATGGGCAGCGGCTCCAGCGCCTGCGGCACGCAGCACGGTGCCGCCGACGCACCCGGGTTGTACTGGTTGTACAGGGCCAGGACCTGCGGGGGCAGGGCGCCGGCGGGGTCAGGGCTCGCGGGGAGGGGTCCCCACCCCGTCCGCCTCCCTCCCCATCCCCCGCCTCTCGCTTTCCGGCTCCCTTCTCAGTGTCTCCCCATCTCTCCCTGTCTCTCGCCTTCCGCCCCCATCTCTCTTTTTCTTCTCGTTCTGTCTCTCCCCACCTCTCTGGTTTTCTCAGTCTGGTGTGTGTGGTGGAGTCGATTCCGACTCATAGCGACCCTGTAGCACAGAGTAGAACTGCCCCATAGGGTTTCCAAGGAGCGGCTGGTGGATTCGAACTGCCGACCTTTTGGCTAGCAGCCGAGTTTTTAACCACTGCGCCACCGGGGCTCCCTTCACTCTCTATTGCTCCCTATTTTCAACTCTTGGCTTGTATCTCGCCTTCTTTCTCTCGCTCTCCTTCTGTCTTTTTCTCTCTCATTCTGTCTCTTCATTTCTCGATCTCTTTCTCCTTCCACCTCCCAGTCTCTCTCCTCCTCTCTCTCCCTCTGTCGGTCAGCCCATATCTGTATCTTCCCCTGCCTCAGTTGATCTCTCCCTGCTCAGCCCTTGTCTCCAGCTTCCTGCCTCTCTCCCCGTCTCTTTACCTAACCCCATTTCTCTGTCTCTCTCTGCCCCTCCAAAAATCCAAAAACCAAACCCATGGCCACGGAGTCGATTCTGACTCATAGCGCCCCTACCGGACAGAGTAGAACTGCCCCATCGGGTTTCCAAGAAGCAACTGGTGGATTCGAACTGCCAACCTTTTGGTTAGCAGCTGAACTCTTAACCACTGCGCCACGAGGGCTCCCTCTGCCCCCCCATCTCCCGCGAATTCATCTCTCTAAATGTAACTCTCTTCCTCTCTCCCAAACTCCGTCCCTGCTCCCCTCAGCCCAACCCTGGCCCCGAGGGGCAGGCGCACCTTGCTGTACTGGGTGTCGAGGCTCCAGATGAAAGGGCAGGGCCCCAGGCAGAAGTTGGCGTGGTAGCCCTTGGGCTCATGGATCCACTTCCAGCCCAGGTCCTTGCGGAAGTCGATGTACAGCTGCCGCACGCAGCAGTTCTTCTCCGTGGAGCTGAGGGTGGAGGAGTGCAGGTGGGGAGGTGGCGGCGCAGGCCGTCACCCTTCCTCCTCGTGTGTGTCCTGTCCTTAGGTTGCCTCTCAAACCCATCTCCATCTTGGTCCCGTCTCACCCCCCGTGATGATAACAATCACAGGAATAGTAATAATAGTTGCTAACACAGAGCACTTCCTGTCATGAACAATCTCATGCAATGCACAAAACAAGCCTGTAAGAAGCAACTGACTATCCACAGGGCAAAAAAAAAACCATTGCCATCGAGTGGATTCTGACTCATAGCGACCCTATAGGACAGAGTAGAACTGCCCTATAGGGTTTGCAAGGAGCGGCTGGTGGATTCAAACTCCTGATCTTTTGGTTAGCAGCCGAGCTCTTAACTCCTGTGCCACCAGGGCTCCATCCACAGGGCAGGGCTCACTAAATCATGGCAGAGCCACACACAGCTTCATACATCTACCTATTTGTGCAACAGATGTTTATTGAGCTACTACTGTATGCGGGGCTCTGTTCTACTAGGGACGCAGTACTGAACAAAGCAGACTGAAATCCCTGCCCTCCTGGGCCACACGCTATGAGTCCTCACAATGCTCCTCTGCTCGGAACATGGCTCCGTCTCAGTTAGCAAATGCCCATGTTCTCACCGTGAGCCATAAGGTGCTGCTGGATCTGGCTGATCTCAACTCTCTCTCTCTCCTGTTCTCACTCCACTACAACCGCACTGAGCTCCCAGCTGTTCCTTAAACACAATCCTACCTCAGGGCCTTTGCGCTTGTCGTTCCCACAGATATCCAGGCTAGCCCATTCCTTCACTTCATTTAAACCTCTGCTCAGACGTCTTTTGCTTAAAACCAAAAATCTAAACCCGTGGCCATCCAGTTGATTGTGACTCATAGCACCCCTATAGGACAGAGTAGAACTGCCCCATAAGGTTTCCAAAGAGCGGTTGGTGGAGTTGAACTGCCCACCTTTTGGTTAGCAGCCAAGCGCTTAACCACTTCACACTTGGGGAGGTTTAATTCCTAGAACAGTGCCTGGTGCTCAGTAAATATCAGTTACATGACTGAATGTCACCTCCTCAGAGGGACCTTCCCAGACCATCCTACCCCAAAACAGCAATCCAAATGATTGTCAATTCTGTCCAGTATAATATTGGCACTGCTGTTATGTAAGAAAATATGAAGTGTGGCAAAATCTTGGTAACAACTACAGCCAAATGAGAGTTCACGGGAACTCATTATACTATCTTTGTTGCTTTTGTGTACATCTGAAATTTTCCATAATAAAAGAAATTTTAATAAGAAGTAGGAAAAATAAATTAATCAAATAGTCTCCAGCATCTATTTCTTCCTGTTCCCTTCCTCTCGTTTATTTTCTTTCTTAGAACATATTGCCACCTGCTAATTTATCAGTGATCCATTTGTTCCTATGTTTATGGTCTGTCTTCCTCTGAGGACAGGGATTTTTTGTTTTAAATCTGTTTTGTCCTTTAATGTGTCCCTAGGACCCACAACAGTGCCTAGCGCACAGTAGGTGCTCAGCAAATGTGAGAGAAGTGATTACTATATTCCGTTTTAAAAAAGCAAGTTGCAGAATAGTGGTGCGTGAGACTCTACCACTTGGGCAAGACGGAAAATAACATATGGATATGTATAAATGTGTTGTGTGAGGCCAATTCTGGAAGGAGATACAGAAATATGATCAAAGTGGCTGCCTCTTCAGAGAGGGCCTGAAGGTCAGAGCTGGGGGGCGGGTGGTCTCTGAACACCCCTCTTTCAAGGTTTGGGTCCATGGACATGTATTTGCCTATTCAAAAACTAATCAATAATGATGCTCCTTTAAAAAATCACCTATATGATGAGTAGTGTCTGGGGTCTTAAAAGCCTGTGAGCGGCCATCTAAGATACTCCACTGGTCTCATCCCTTCGGGAGCAAGGGAGAATGAAGAGAACAGGATACAAGGAAAAGATTAGTCCAAAGGACTAATTGTCCACAGCTACCAAGGCCTCTACCAGACTGAGTCCAGTACAGCTAGATGGTGCCCGGCTACCACCACTGACTGCTCTGACCAGGATCACAACAGAGGGTTCTGGACAGAGCTGGAGAAGGATGTAGAGCGTAATTCTAACTCACAAAAAAAAGACCAGATTTACTGGCCTAAAGGAGACTGGAGAAACCTCGAGAGTATGGCCCCCAGACACCCTTTTAGCTCAGTGGTGAAGTCACCTCCGAGGTTCACTGTTCAGCCTGGGAGTGGACAGCCCCGTAAAACCAAATGAGACTAACGAGGCACAGGAGTCCAGTGACAAGGGCCAGAAGGCAGAAGGGGACAAGGAAGCTGGTGTTAGGGAACCCAAGGTTGAGTAAGGATATTGTTGATGTGTTGTGAGATTGTTAACCATTATCATAGGGCAACATTTGTAGTAACTGTTAAATGAGAAACTATTTTGTTCTGTAAGCCTTCATCTTAAGTGAGAATGACAGCACAATTGGAAGAGCGTAGTCAATGTCACTGAACTGTGCATGTAGAAATTTTTGAAATGGTGTATCTTTGGCTATGTGTATTTTCACCAAAAAAAAGGTTTAGAAGTTAGAGGGTTGATATGTTGTGGGGTTGTTAACCAATGTCATTAAACAACATGTGTACTACTGTTTCATGAGAAACTATTTGTTTTGTAAGCCTTCACCTGAAGTACAATAAAAAAAAAAAAAAGAAAAAAAAATTTCATGCACAAGGAAAAAAAAAAATCACCTATATGAGACCAAACAGTCACCAATTACTTTAAAACAAAGATAAAAATGTAAGGGGGCAGGGAAACTAGATGAACGGAAATGGAGCAACCAGAATGGAAATAATGAGAACGTTCATGTATTGTGAAAAACGTAACCAATGTCACTGAACAACTTGTGTAGAAATTGTTAAATGGGAACCTAAACAATTGTGTAGACCTTCCCCCAAAACACAATAAAATACTATTTAAAAAAAAAAAAGAATCAACACATAATTAATTTCAAAACACTGTGAAGCAGGTCTTAGTATATCTTCATTTGGGGGATGGAGAAGCTGAGCCTCTTCATGGCTACTGAGTTTCTGTTTGGGGTGGTGAAAAAGTTTAGGAAATGGTGATGGTTGCACAATACGTTGAATGTAATTAACGTCACTGAACTGTACACTTAAAAACACTTACAATGAGGCTTAATGGTTTGATTGAGACTGGAGGGACCCTGGAAGACATGGGTCTTTAGCCCAAAACTAAAACCGTTCCCGAGGCCAACTCTTTAGACAAAGATTAGACTGGACTAGGGGACATAAAATGACACTCGTGAAGAGTGTGCGTCTTAGCTCAAGTTGATACATGAGGCTAAATGGGCAGCTCCTGTCCAGAGGTGAGATGAGAAGGCAGAGGGTCAGGAGCTGGTTGAATGGACACGGGAAATCCGGGGTGGAAAGGAGTGTGCTGTCACAGTATAGGGAGAGCAACTAGGGTCACATAACAATGTGTGTATAGATTTTTATATGAGAGACTAACTTGAATTGTAAACTTTCACTTAAAGCACAACAATAAAAAAAACTTAAAATGGCAAATTCTGTTATATATATTCTGCCACAATAAAATAAGAAAGAAAGAAAAACACCGAGCCTCAGAGAAGGGGGATGTTGCTTGCTCACATGCATATAAGTGGCAGCGCCCAGGGCCAGGCTCACAGCTCACAGTGAGACCCTGCAGCCTGTGGCCCCACCTGCCCAGGTGACCATGTCAGCTGAAGCAAAAGGGGAGGAGGTGGTGACACAGGGTCTCCAGGGGGCAAGACAAGGCCTTTCCAAGAGCTGCAGAGCCCCTGAAAGGAGTCAGGAAACAGATCCCTGTGAGCTCAGCCTGGTCCCTTCCCAGTATGGTTGAGCTTTGGTTTCCCCAACCCAACAAAAGTGGGGGGAGTAGGTTGGATTAAATAAGGTGTTGTTAACCTGAGAACCAAAGAGGCATCAGGAAGTCCATAGGTGGGCTCAGGGAGGGTCCTGACCCCCTAAAACCAAATGCACATATGTGTGTATATATGTACACGTCTCTCTGGGAAAGGCTTTCGGCTTCTTAAAGGGCTCCTGGAGTCACAAAAGGGGAAAAACCACAGTCCAGAATAATCTTTAACTTCCAGTCCAGCTCTGGCTGGGGCTCTGAGGTCCTAACATTTGAATGGTCTGTGATTCTGTTATCCAACTCAGAGGTTCTGCACATGGAACCCCTGGACCACCAGCACCAGCATCACCTGGGAACTTATGAGAAATACAAATTCTCAGGTCCCAGCCCAGACCTGTTGAATCAGAAACTATGGGAGGGGTGAAGGAAGGGCAGCAGTGCATGTTTAACAAGACCTCCAGGTGACCCTGATGCACTAACTTATTTGTTCAGTATACATCTGGGGTCTACTGCATTCCAGGCCCTGTGATACACATGGTCCTTGACTTTGAAAAGCTCCTCTCATGTCCTCTCTAATAAGACCCAACAGGGACCGTTATGGATTGAATTGTTCCCAAAAAATATATGTTGAAATCCTGACCTCTGTACCTATAAATAAGACCCTGTTTGGAAACAGGGGTTTTCTTCTGTTATGTTCATGAGGCCATGCCAGAGTAGGGTGGGTCCCAAACCTAATCACTTCTGAGTCACAAAAAGAGCAGAATAGACACAGAGACACACGCAGGGGAAAGACACCATATGAAGATAGACATACACAGCAGATGCAGCTATAACTTCAGGAAAGCTAAGGACGGCCAGCTACTACAAGCTGAAACAGACAAAGAAGGACCTTCCTGTTATAGACTGAATTATGTCCCCCTAAAAATATGTGTTGTAAATCCTAACCTCTACGCCTGTGGTTATAATCCTATTTGGGGATGAGTTGTCCTTGTTATGTTAATGAGGCAGGATTAGTGTAGGGTGTATCTTGAGTCAATCTCTTTTGAGATATAAAAAGAGATTAAACAAACGATCAGAGAG